GCTTCTGAAACAAAGAAAACCCCTTCTACATTGCTGGAATTATGAGGACATGGGGTCTGTCCTCATAATACCAAAATGTCCTCATAGTGCTGGTGCGTATTCAGGTCAAAAGTCCTTATATACCACAAAAACCAACACACACACACACACACACACACACACACACACACAAGCTAATAGACCATGTGATTGACAGCTATGATTGACAGTTACACAGAACAGAGCCGACGTACTGCAGTGTTCACGTTGTGAAAAAGGTCATGTACGCTGCCAACGATCAAATTCAGAGTTGAAATTCTTCTTTAAAATTACAAAATTAATTGTACAAAACAGGCTGCGTGAAAAGGGTTGCAAGCTAATAGACCTAAGACTGCAAGGGACATTTGCTAATAAAGTTAGCAGCCTGTTTTCATCTGGAGTTATGTGCTAAACTTTAAGCTAATGTTGAATTCATCTCGCTTATTCTCAAATTAAATCGTATTTAACAATGTAAACAAAGACAGATTTTAACTGGCCTTTGAAAGAATATGAAATGTAGAAATGTAGCTTTAATTCGTGAAATAAAACGAAATACACCATTTGTAATCTTTAAAGAGTCACATTAACTTATTTAAAGACAATTTTTTTTAAACTAAATATTAATCAACATTGTCAAGACTGAAACCTTTTATTTTTTGGTGACTAAAACATTTACATTTTAAAATGACTAAAATGTGACTGAAACTAAAAGACTAAGATGGCTGCCAAAACAGCACTGGCCATCATTTATCACCAGTACAGAGTCAGATCCACAGCGAAGATCACGGATTGAAACTGAGCTAAAGTTTAATGGAAATAGGAAATTGCTGTGATGGTGCCATGTCTATTGAACAGGTCCTGCCAGATTTTAGGCTGGCATCGATTCAAATTCTGTGTGTAGTTTTTTTTGTTTATTGTGCTTTTACAGCACTTTTGGCAGCCAAAAAATGTTCTTAAAATAAATAGATTTCTTTCTTACAAAAGCTACATGGCAGCTTGTGTTCACTCTAGCAAATGAAGATAAGGAACACAATCACTGCAGCACACTCATCTCCATTCTGAAAGCCTTATGTTGTCTGCCAACGTTCTCCACCCGTTGTTTACTTCTGGGAGTTCCTTGCTCTTTACTTTCTGCCTGTTGGAAGTCAGTTTTGGAAATATATTCAATGCTGCTCCCAGGGGTGATTGTAGGATCAGAGCTTTAGCAGGGGCCCAGCTCCTGGTGAAAACACCTCAGACACATACCCGTAAAAAAAAAAGAAGCTGTCCTTGATTTAATGTTAGAGAGTCTTAGAAGGGTTTCCCTTGCGCCGTCGCAAGATTGGTATATTAGGAAAGTCATAGAGAAAGGTCTCCTGAGAAATTTTCAGGTTCAATGCTTTTATTTTGTGCATTTTAGTTTAAAAATAGTCTGTCTTGAAGAGTCCTGGGAAGTTTCTGAGTAAATTCTAGCATTTGTGCATTTTCTTTTTTGTAAAAAGTGTTAGTCCTAGAATTGGCCCCCAGAGAAAATTGGAATAATTAAGTTTAATTTGAACATTTGAAGCATTTTAGTTTTTAATAAGATCTGGACGGATATTACTACCTAATGAATTTTTTTTTTGTAATATCTTTATATATTAAGAAAAGAAAGATGTAAGCTCAATATATTTTCAAAGAACAGGCAAACTGTAATTAGAAAATCAACATCATATCATTTTTAATGTTGCCTAAACAGATGTTTTTAAAAAACACAATCAAACTAAATTCCAAAATCATTTATTAATGAAATAAAAACTGTCAACAATGAACAGTGTTTTTACTTAATCAGTGCTTTGTTCTTTTCTTCTTTACCTGTTTTTCATTCATGCTGTGTTCTTTAAAATGCCAATGTTTTTCTATAACGCTTTTATGCAGATGCTTCAAAGCTGCTTCAAAGAAGGATGAGCTTAAGATAGATTCGTTCTAAGTTGAGCATGTTTTGTGGCCACAGTTAAGCAGTAGACAATTATTAGACAATTAAGGGTTTAACAATGATAGTTTTTGACAATCACTTAAATCCAGGTAAAAAGGTTTTGTACATTTATTTAGTCTAGGGTGCATGTTTTCTATGTGTGGGGGAACCGGAGCTCTCAGAGGAAAAACCCACACTAGCAATTAAAATTCACGTGGGGTGCTAATCGCTGAAGTTACATGCTACTACATCCGGAGAGGCGTGGACCTCACGGGAGAAATCAAGCCAGGTAAACCTATGGCAAGTCCCTTCTTCTTTATGAGGCCAACTTAATCATGGAGATCCCAGACAAGCTCATCACCAGTCATAACCTGCAAAAACATAAAAAGAGATAAGCTGGGTACCAGCTATCAACTGGGAAAAAGACTAAAGTACAGAGAAGTTGGTGCAGTAGCAGAACACTTAAGATGCAATTGTGTATCAATTTAACATTTTAATCAAAAGAGATAATCTTGATTTAAACTGGTAGAGTGAATCTGAACTCCGAATGTTTTCCAGGAGTTTGTTCCAGAGCTTAGGCGCCAGATGTTAAAATGCCATTCTTCTGTGGTGACTTTTTCGGTCTAGGAACGACTAATATCCCTGCATTCTGTGATCGAAGAAATCTAGTCAGAATATAGCGCAGGAGCAGACTGCTCAGATCGGTTAGAGCTAGACCGTTCAAGGCTTTAAATCCTAGCAGTAGTATTTTATAATCAATGCTGTATTTTATAGGAAGTCAGTGCAGCGAGGGTAGGATTGGTGTGATGTGATCATACTTTCTTGTTCTGGTGAGATCTCTAGTCGCTGCATTCTGTGAATTAGCTGTGGAGGTAGTTCTCTAGTCTCTCTAGCAGAATTTTATGGTCAATTGAAGCAAATGCATTGCTAAGATCAAAACCGACAAGGAGATGTTCACTTGGTCGGATGCAAAGAGAAGGTAATTTAAGAAAATGAATGTCAATGATAAATCCATAATCAGCACAGTTTCTTATTCTTTTCAACCAATCAGGTTTCAGGAGATGCTGGGGGGGGGACATGTGACTGAGGTGAATGTAAGAGTTGGTTTTAGGGGTGCTAATATTATGTTTTGGCCACTGGATACACTAATGAATAATGTTGATTTCATATGACTTCATTGGTTTTTTTTTTGACCAGTGGCTAAAACCACAGCTTTCAATATTTTACTGGAAGGTTTTACAGTGTGGCTGTGTGTGTTTCAGACTCTACTGACATGGATCCAGACATCGTTCATCTGAACTCCCTGGGGTTCACCGGCTGTCTATCGGTTGTCCAGTTTAACTCCATCTCTCCACTGAAAGCTGCTCTTCTTTATCCTGACACAAGTCCTGTCATAGTGACCGGACCACTAAGTGAATCCAACTGTGGCTCATCAGCACCCCCCAGCCCCTATGCAGCCGAGACGACACATTCTCTCACAGGTAAATCCAAAGGGGGCTGTTTTCCCTGAGCTCCATTGCAACTGGTTCTCAATTTTCTTCAAAAATGGATGTTTGAGTGAGTGAAGTGAAAAAGAGCTTTAAATATTACCATTTATAAGCACGGTTAAGTTTTATCCAAGTCACAAAACCAGTGTATGACTGACACAACACACAAGGAAAGATTGGAGCAAACAAAGGAGACTAACAATGGACAAGAATCACTTAGGAAACATGAAAAACAGAGCCAGGATGTGAACGCAGAGGAATGTGGGAAATTAAGACTCTTACCAATACAGAATCTTATAATGATGTGGGATGGCGAGAGAGACACGGACACACACGTTCTGTTTAAGGCAGCATAGGGCATTTGTTACAATTGTGCACCAAATAAATAATTAAAATGGAGAGTCTTGCAGCAGGGAAAAGAGCTCCCAGGGTGCCCTCACCCTGAATTGTCCAACGGGGCTCCGGACTCCAGACTCGATGAGTCTGTCGCCACTACGTCGACCCTTTCCGGAATGTGGGTGGCCCAGAGCTTGGTGGGCTCACTCGGGTAGCCGGTGTCCATCGATGGACCACAACGCAGCAAGCCTGGCAATGACACAAAGTTCTGGCAGGTGCTGCAGCTCCTGGAGGGCCTGCAGCTTTGGGTGATCTTTGGGAAAACAACTCACCTCCTGCTCACCTGCTCTGTCACTTTTTTTAAAGCGAGCAGCTTAACGAGCCATGCCTGGCAACGCTGATGATTCCCCGCACCCCGTCCCACTATATCTGAAGCTTTACAGCAGGGGTGCCCAAACTTTCTTTCTATGAAGGGAAAATTCAAACTTGACTGAGATGTTGTGGGCCAAAAGTAAATGTTGCATAAAATATCAAACTGCTGCAGGCTGGTGCAGTGGGTAGCACTGCGGCCTTCCAGTTCGAAGGTTGTCGGATCGAGGCTTGCGGGTGACCTTCTTGGAAGGAGTTTGCATGTTCTCCCTGTGCTTGCGTGGGTTTCCTCCGGGTACTCCGGTTTCCACCACAATTCCAAAATCATGCGGCTAATTTGATTAATTTATTCATTTTCCAACCCGCTTATGCCCTTTTTGAGGTCACGGGGGTCTGCGCACATTGGCATTGCCACATTAACCTAACGCATTTTTTTGGGATTGTGGGGGAACCCTCGCAAGCACGGTTAGGTTAATTAAATAATCTGAATTCCCCTGGTGTAAATGTGTGAGTAAACGTTGCCCAGCGATGGATTGGTGACCTGTCCAGGGAATACCCCCGCTTCTCGCCCAATGTGCGCTGGAAAAAAGGGCATAAGCGGGGAATAATGTTCCCTATATCGTTCAGTAATATTATCAAGTCTTGCTTGAATACGTCTTCTGGATTTGTTGTAATTTATAGTTCTGGCGACCATGAGGCAAAGGCGCCAGAGGTGCTTGAGCCCTTTGATCACTGCTTGCAGCTTTAATTGGTTAGCTGATGTTTCCTGGATATGTTCTAAATGTATTTAAATGTTATGCACTCGGCGGCTTCTTTTGTCCGAAGTGACTTACATTACAAGGAATAAACACAGTTGATGGTTTCCTTGGGATTTGGACCCACAACCGTTGTGTTGCTAGCATAATGCTCTACTGACGGAGCCACAGGAAAACTTGACATTCCTTTATTAAAAAAGTTAATGTCTTGCTAGTGAAATGACATCTGTAGGATCTTTTGATCATCTTACTCTATTCTTTTTACTCTTGCTGCACCTGAGCGTTGAACTTGAGCAGAGTTTGGTCTATGGACTCACTGAATTCTTCTGCAGCTCTAATTAAATGAGAGGCAATAATCATCATAATGGCAGATCACTGTATTAATCTGTCTGAGAAAGACCTTAATTTGCATAATGGATTCTCGATTGGCTGTGCTGATTGGCTCCATCGTTGAGTAGCACTGGATTCAATGAGCCATGACCTGAGAGAGATCAAGGCTTTTTTTCCTGTTGATGAGCTCTCTCTCTTTCTTTATCTCTCTCAAACTTTCTTTCTCACCTTCCCTGTCTCCTTCTCTCTTTTTCTCTCCCTCACTCTGCGCTGTAGATCATGTAGGTCTGGAAGGCTCCGGTGAGCCTATAGTGAATGCTCTGGACGGTGACTCTGCTCTCATCGGAGGTAAAGTTTTTCTTTGCTTCCTTTAATCTGGGTCGAGGTTTCTTTTTGAATTCCACCTAACAATCCTTTCACAGATTTATTATTTGTTCATAAAAAACAGGTGTAGAATAGTAAAGAAAGAAGTAACCATTTCTTTAATGCTGTTTCCTTATAATAAGACTAAATGACAAACTGAAATGCTAAACCACTGTATTGTTTATTCAAAGTGAAGCTTCATTTTTATTAAAGAGTGTTTGAAACTAATGAGATCCTGGAGTCTACAATAAGTTCTGATTAACGACTGAGTCAACATAAAGACATTGCTAAATAGAAGGAAATTAAAAAGCGCTGCCAGAAATAATGAAACATTTAAAAATATTTGTTGATTAAAGGGGCTACCCTTCATCCTTTTTCCAGCCACAGCACTGCTGGATTTAATTGTGTTGTCTCTTCAATTATATGTTTCTTTTAACCTGTATAATTAAGTGCGACGTGCTTAAACTCATTTTTGGATTTGGAGTCTGAAGTAGGGCAGAGGCAATGTTCAGACGTTAATATAAACTTTACAGCAACAAACACCCTCCTATTATCCTTGGGGTCAGTAAGACCCATTCCTTGTATGACATTTGTACACGTCTGTGTATGTTGTTTTTTGCTTCAGTTTATATCAATGAGATTTTGTCACAGGTTTTTGACACAGGGGAGAATTTGTCTGGGACATTGGATAATCTTGAGGAGGACTCTGATTAGAATGCATCCTCCCCAGATGAGATAAAGACTCCTAGTGTTGACCCTCCTGTAGACTCTCAAACATCAGCAGACACATTACCTTCCAAAAATGGAAAATGTTATGGTCCTACTCCCCACTTTCATGACAGGGTAGACTTAGTGCTAATAGGTAATAATAGGTAATCTATGTGTATAAAGGGCAGGGAGTGGAGGTGTGTGGGGGGGGGGGATTCAAAGTGTGGTCAAGTACTCCACAAAGACATCAATTAGCTGACAGTAACCTTTTAGCAAAAAAAATCACATTTGCTATTGACCACAGTGGAGAAAAAGAGTAACAGGAGGATTAAACAGAGTTTCGGAAACTAACTTCAGGAGGTAAATTTATTTCCCGCGAGACCTTTTGTATCTCAAACATTTGTAACTCGAAGCGTTCTCGAGGTACCACTGTACTAAGCTTTTTCACTAGTTTCACCTCATACGCCAGACCAATAATATCACTGCATCCATCAAACCTCGGATCCAAGATCAGGGTGCATGAATAAAGTATTTAAATTATAGCCAAGTAATTTTTAGAAAAGGAATAACAAGTTGTGTACGAACACAAAAGGGAAAATATAGGCATAAAAACTAAAATATTCAATGTGAAAGTCTTTGTACAGTAAAAATGAGCACACTCCGTTTAAAAATTTGGAATTTAATCAGTAGCTCAATGAACATAGATCACAAATCTTTTTTTTCCCACAGTATTTTCACTGATATGTAGCTATGCTGATCTTTTAGCCCTCACCTTTTCATGTAGATTTTCCTTTCTCAGATTTTGTGACATTTTTCTTCCATGGGGAGCCATTACTGACAACATGAAATGGGAGGGACTTTTCTTTGTTAATTAATGTCCTTTTATAGTCATCTGTCTGCTGGACACCTCTTAAATGAATCATTAGATTCACCTGTGGTAAACACCTGTAAATTACACTTTTGTTGTCTTAAGTGTGGCTTTTCTCCAAAGACTATAAATGGGGTGTACTCCATGGGCTTGAATAAATTTATTAGGATTTGTTTGTTAGAATTAACAAATCTCGTTTGTGGGAGAATTTTGCGGTGTAGTGTCTCATAGAAGGAAACTGGTTTGACAAATGTAGTGGGGTGTACTCATTTATGGTGAGCACTGTATGTTTAAATAAAAGCAATACTGTAAAATGTCCTTAAATGACAGTTTAGATTAATGTAACCAACCCTAACAATAAGTGCATCCGCTGCCAAGAATACAAATCCAAAAAAATTAGATTGAGATTAGCCAAAAGGTGCATTTTAGCTTAGCTTTTGAACAGATGTTGTTCTGAGGTCCCCAGTGAGACCATTGCATAGATAGAAAATACACGCCCAGCCCAACACTTTAAACAAACCCGAGGCTCCTCTAGAGCCTGGTGCATGTCTGAGCACAGGCTATGAGAAGGAGATAATTAAGTCGGAGTTCATTAAATATAGGAATGGGCCATTCCCTGCACTGATTTCATCACAGAAATAAGAACTTTAAATTTGAACTAAAGACGATTAGCTAAAGTTGTGGTGATTTGAGAGTTTTTCATGGTGCCAGTCTGAAAACTGCAGATTTAGTGCAAGGTTTTTTGAAATGAAACACATTGCAAAAATGTGAAGCTAATGAAGGTATGGCTGACCTGTTCAAAGGGCTTTCTATCAAGGAAAGTCATCATCCACAAAAGGCTGAAAGGATGAAGCTTGCCAAAAATATCTGTGGCAAAGGAAAGTTCAAAACAGAGCTGCGCTCATCACCAAAAATTATGAACTCACATTTGTTTGAATTAAAGTGGAGATGAATTAATGTTGTCAATAGGAATTGAAGGAAACTTGCCCAGAATTTGAGCAATGGGCGGAATATGAAAAGCAAATAAAAATAGAACTGCCTGCAGCAACCAAACATCAAGAATTTAAAACATGTTGACTTGGCAGACGTCCACTGGCAAACACACGTCCATTGGTTTATAGGCAAAAAAATCTAAAACGTACATACTAAGGACTTCAGCCCTATAAGAGGATTATAAACTTTGACCTTAAGGTGGTGCTGTTGGCAGCTTTATCGAGAGGTCAACGTTAAGCATGCAGATTTTTGGGACCAATATGTTCATGGTTGTAGAGATGCATCTTCAAATTAGTCTTGCCACATAACTGTTGAATTCATCATAGCCTTAAACTAAAGCCATTGACATGACATTCATAACTTTTTGCCCGCAAGGATGTTCTGATTCAAATTTGATAAGAGTTGCACTTATGGTTTGGGAGGAGTTTGAAAGGGTGGGTTTTGATGTAATTTTGAGCACAAAGTGGCGCTATCACAAATCTAGTTGGGTACCTTCAGGACAACATGCAAGCCAACTTTTGTATAGATATGTTGATGTATTTTTAAAAAATTCAACGTTTGACTACATCCAAGATGGCCAATATTCAAAATGGCTGACATACTAAAAAGGAACATGGTCCGACTCGGTATGTTGGTCAGAATGTACTAAGACCAAATATAACAAATATAGAATTATATTTGTAGCTCTATGCTGAAACTCTGCAGGCACCCTCAGATCATAGTTCTTATAACATCCACCAAATTTGGTGTATATCCTTACGACCATTTTGGTGAGCATTGGTCACTATTGTTCACTCCCCATTCATAAACGCTTTGTCAAATCAACTTGATTTCTTTAAATTTGGTTCAGCATGGGCAGAAGATAATCTGGAACAAATTTGGTGAAAATTTCAAAATCAGTCTAGGAGGAGTTTGCAAAAGTCGGTTATGATGATAGTTCAAAATGACGACTAATTAGCATATCTTACAATGACTTCATATTGTCCATTGGATTTGGCCTGAGCCAAGGATTTATGCAGTATAAGAAAAAAATTGCATAAACATAATTAGAAATTTGGAATAGTGGTGGCGCTATAGAGGCTTCAACCAGCGCTAGCACAAACACAGAGTCATTCCTTTCTCCAAGGAATTACTGAAAAAAGTTTGGCGGTAGAGCTCATTTCAGGTTTAAACATCAGAAGCAGATCAACAAAAAAGATGGGGAGGCGTTTTTTTGCTCATGGTTCTGTGTTTGTGCTGTTCTTCAGGACTCATCGCCGTAGTGATTTTCATCAGTCTCGCCGCTCTGGCTGTGATTGGTCGATTTCTGTACCGGCGGAAAGAAACCTTTCAGTCACAGGAGCACGGAGCGGGAAAGCCAGACGACAGTCCTGAAACACCCTTCACCACCGAGCCGAACTCACAAAGCATTATCACCCAGAACCAAAAAGAATATTTCATCTGACGCTCACAAACCTCAAAGGCCTGGTGCGATCGATGGACCTAAACATTTGCCGTGCATTATGGGAAACCTCTGGAGAGACTCTGTGACCTCCAGACCCTTTGTACATGAAACAGTTCTATTCAAGAGATGTGGCACAGGGCTTTCCACAAAGTCTATGATTAAATGCATTAGTTGTAAATATTGTTTTGAGATATATTTTCACTTTTTTTTCAGTGATCAGCTTTCTTTTGTGTTTGACACATGAACAATACACTACGTTGCTAAAAGTATTCTGTCACTCGTCTAAATCTCTGAATTGAGATGTTTCTGCCACGGTCACTGGAGAATAAATCCTGCTGCTCCAAGAAGGGAGCACTCGGGAGAAACTCCAGCGAGCTTCGAGAAGTTTCCTCTCTGCTGAATATTCCACAGTCAACTGTCAGTGTGTTAGAACAAAGCTCGCCTAAAGAATGTCTTTCCTGGTTAATTATA